CTGGTGTACCGTGTCGCCACAGTACTTGTCTTTCCAGGCCCAAGATAGCGTTTCAGGCCGTGGCATGGTTTACTGGATATGTTTCCGGCCACCCAGTAGTTGCTTCTACCATGGTAAGTATGTAACGTTTGCCTTGGCGGGTTTGTGGGAGTGGTCCAATGTAGTCAATCTGCCAGGCCTCACTGTATCAAAATCCAAGCCATCTCCCCCCTATTCCAGGGAGACTTTACCCTCATGGCTCATTTGATTGCAGCACAGGTTTCACACTCATGGGTAACCTGTGTAATGGCCTCAGTGGTCAGGTCCACCCCTCGATCACGAGCCCATCTGTAAGTGGCATCCCTCCCTAGATGTCCTGATGTTTCATGGGCCCATCGAGCTACAAACAGCTCACCCTTACGTCCCCAGTCCAGGTCCACCTGAGCTACTTCAATTTTCGAAGCTCGATCCACTTCTTCGTTGTTATGATGTTCTTCGGTGGCACAATTCTTAGGCATGTGAGCATCTACATGACGTACCTTTACAGACGGGTTTTCTACCCGGGCAGCAATATCTTGCCACAGGGTAGCAGCCCAGATAGGTTTACCTCTGCGCTGCCAGTTGTTCTGTTTCCATCGCTGCAGCCACCCCCACAGAGCATTTGCCACCATCCATGAGTCAGTGTAGAGATATAGTACTGGCCATTTTTCTCTTTCAGCAATTTCTAGGGCCAGTTGTATAGCTTTCACTTCTGCATACTGACTCGACTCACCTTCCCTTTCCATGGCCTCCACAACTTGTCGTGTGGGACTCCACACAGCAGCTTTCCACTTCCGATGGCTCCCTACCACACGGCAGGATCCGTCAGTGAACAACACATACTGCTTTCTGTCTTCTGGCAACTCATTGTATGGTGGTGCTTCTTCAGCACGGGTTACCTCTTCTGTTGGTACTCCGAAATCCCTGCCCTCCGGCCAGTCCATAATCTCTTCCAGGATTCCCGGGCGGTTGGGTTTCCCCATTCGAGCCCGCTGTGTAATTAACGATACTCACTTACTCCACATAGTGTTGGTTGCATGATGTGTAGTGGGGATCTTCCCTTTGAACAGCCAATGTAACACAGGTAGCCATGGAGCCAAGAGGAGTTGTGCTTCTGTACCAACAACTTCTGAAGTGGCTCGAAGCTCCTCATATGCTGTTAATATTTCCTTTTCAGTTGGGGTGTAATTGGCTTCTGATCCTCCATAGCCCCGGCTCCAGAAACCCAGAGGTCGACCTCGAGTTTCTCCTGGGGTCTTCTGCCAGAGGCTCCAGGTGAGCCCATGCTCCCCAGCTGCAGTGTAAAGTATGTTTTGCACAGCTGGTCTAGTACGGACAGGCCCAAGGGCTACTGCACGAGCTATTTCTTGTTGGTTTTGTTCAAAAGGCCTGTTGTTGCTCGGGACCCCACTTGAAATAGTTCCTCTTTCAAGTGACTCGATATAGTGGACTCACAAGCTGACTATAGCCTGGAACATGCATTCTCCAAAATCCCACAAGGCCTAGGAAAGCTTGTGTTTCTTTTTTGCTAGTTGCTGGAGACATAACCATTATTTTGTTGATCACATCTGTCGGAATGTGGCGACGTCCATCTTGCCATTTTACCCCCAAGAACTGGATTTCCTGTGCGAGTCCCTTGACTTTACTCTGTTTAATGGCAAAACTAGCTTTCAGGAGAATTTGAATTATTTTCTTCTCTTTCTCAAAAACATCTTCTGCTGTGTTACCCCACACGATGACATCATTAATGTACTGCAGGTGTTCAGGAGCATCCCCCTGTTCCAGTGTCGTCTGGATCAGTCCATGGCAAATGGTAGGGCTGTGTTTCTAACCCTGGGGCAGTCGATTCCAAGTGTATTGGATGCCCCTCCAAGCGAAAGCAGACTGTGGCCTGCATGCTGCAGAGGGATGGAGAAAAACGCATTAGCGATATTGATTGTAGCATACCACTTGGCTGCCTTGGACTCTAGTTCGTACTGGAGTTCTAGCATGTCTGGCACTGCAGCACTCAGTGGTGGCGGGACTTCGTTCAGGCCGCGATAGTCTACCGTTAGTCTCCACTCGCCATTAGACTTTTGCACTGGCCATATAGGACTATTAAAGTGTGAGCGAGTCTTGCTGAACACTCCTTGGCTCTCCAGATGATGAACTAACTCATGGATAGGGATCAGGGAGTCTCGGTTGGTGCGATATTGCTGCCGGTGCACAGTTGTAGTCACAATTGGCACTTGCTGTTCTTCAATCCTCAGCAATCCTACAGCAGAAGGGTCTTCTGAGAGACCAGGCAAGGTAGACAGCTGCTTAATCTTCTCTGTGCTCAAAGCAGCTATGCCAAAAGCCCACCGGTACCCTTTTGAATCCTTGAAATATCCTCTCTTGAGGTAGTCTATGCCAAGGATGCGTCGAGTATCCAGGCCAGTCACAATACGGTGCTTTTGCCACTCGTTCCCAGTTAGACTCACTTCAGCTTCCAATACAGTTAGCTGTTGGGATCCCCCTGTCACTCCAGAGATACAGATGAGTTCTGCCCCTTGGTGGCCTGACGGCATTAGGGTACACTGTGTGCCTGTGTCCACTAAAGCTTCATATTTCTGCGGGTCCGGTGTGCCAGACCATCGAATCCACACAGTCCAGTAAATCCAGTTGTCCCTCTCCTCTACCTGGCCAGAGGCAGGGCCCCACTAGTCCTGGTTGGAGCATCTATCAATTAATTCTTCCAAATGTGAAGCAGAGGTCTCTTTGTCAGCGTCAGGAGTAATACTAGCCCTTCTATTGCCTCCGGGTGACTGCCCAACAGAAACTGGGGCAGCAATCCTCCTAGGGACCTCTTTTCTTGCTGCTGTATCTTTCTGCAGTTCACGTACCTGAGCAGCTAGGGCCGAGGTTGGGTCACCATCCCACTTCCTCATATCTTCCCCATGGTCACGTAAATAAAACCACAAGGTACCCCGCGGTGTGTGTCCTGGATTCTCCCTTGCTTGAGCCGGAGAATGCTGGTACTTAATGGATGAAAGATTCTTCCATCTAGGTGAGGAGGAAGTTATGTGTTCTTCTAACCACTGGGACAGTGTCTCCACAGCTGAAATGCAGGCCCGTACTGGGGCAGAGAGATTTTCTTCATATTTATGAAGCTGGTTGGACACATTATCCACAGTTGGCCCCATCCCCTCTTCCCAATCTGTTGCTGCCAGTGTGCTGGCATGTGATGAGGATGCAGCCTGTACAAACTTCCGCCACATGGATGTTGTGCATTGGACTTCATCAGGGTCTTTAGGTGTCTGGGCATTGTTCAAATCACTATATCATTATATCACTGGAGTGATACCAGTGCTGTTCCAGCTACGAGTGCACAGCACAGCACCATGTGGGCTGCTGCAGGGAAAGGTGACTCCATCCCAGACAGGCCCAACACAGCAATATGCCCTGTTCACTGATGGGTCCTGTTGTATTGTGGGAGATGGAAGGCTGCTGTATGGAGTCCTGCATGACAAGTTGCAGAAGCTGCTGAAGGAGAAAGTGAATCAAGTCACTTTGCAGAAGTGAAAGCCATCCAGCTGGCTTTAGATCAGGCCACCTGGTTAGTTGACACTAGGGGATCTGCCAACTGAGCTGGACCTGACCAGTCAAACCTGTTACATACTGTAGAAGGGGATGAAGTCCCTGTAGTGCTCGTAAAATACACGCTGAGGAAGATGGTCTGGGCTATTCCTGCCTCAGGCAAAGGCAAACCCATTCGTGGGATTACTTTTGCTCAAGGACCTCGATGCACTTGCTGGGTAATGCAAAAGAATGGGGAGGTCCAGTGTGTACCGCAAGGGGATTTAATACTGGGTGAGAATAGCCCATGAGTTGAATTGTATTATGTTAATTGTTATCTAAAACTGTATGTCATCACTACCCTGTGATAGCTATATGTCCATGTCCTATTAATGGTATCACTGTAATAGCCACACAGATAATGATGAATGAATTTTGATAGAATTGGACACGCACAGCGGTGTGATGGAATCAGAACGGGCTTCAGCGTGTGACAGTCCAACATCACACACCATCTCCTCTGCCCTGAAAGACTGCTGTGACAGATAGAGCCCAAAGTCAGTCATGGACTACACAAACTTAGTGGACATTTTATATATGTATGTGAAAAGTGTTGATTATTTGTAATGTATTGGAAAGGGTGGGACCCGAGCATGACATAAATGGTATGGAATAAGGGGAGGATATTGTTCTGGTTTCCGCTAGGATAGAGTTAATTTTCCTCCTAGGAGCTGGTAGGATGCCTTGTTTTCGATGTTGAGTTGCTAATTCCTCTGCATTGGAGTTAATGAAATGATTCATCTAGATGCTATGCCAGCTAATTATAGATACAAGCTTTCATGCTGTGGCTCATTAGTATCTCAACAACATTCAACAAGTTAGCTTTTTACCAGTCTTACTATTCACCCTTTGTTATCACTGCCCAAGCATCTGTGTCAATGTCCTGGTTTCAGCTAGGACAGAGTTAATTTTCCTCCTAGTAGCTGGTAGGGTGCTGTGTTTGGGATTTAGGATGAGAATAATGTTGATACCATGATGATGTTTTAATTGTTGCAGAGCAGTGCTTACACTAAGCCAAGGACTTTTCAGCTCCTTGCTCTGTCCTGCCAGCGAGCAGGCTGGGGGATGCAGCAGGAGCTGGGAGGGGACAGACCCAGGACAGCTGACCCAAACTGGCCAAAGGGGTATTCCATACCATGTGATATGGTAAACTATTAATATGGGGGGGCTGGCCGGGGTGTGGGGGACTGGCTGCTTGGGGATAGGCTGGACATTGGTCAGTGGGTGGTGAGCAGCTGCATTGTGCATCACTTGTTTTGTACACATTATTAGTAGTAGCACTATTATCATTATTAGTATTATTATTTTCCTTTTGTTTCTGTCGTAATAAAATGTCTTTATCTCAACCTGCAAGGTTTCACTTTTTTTTGATTCTCTCCCCCATCCCACTGCGGGGGGGGGGAGGGTGAGGAAACGGCTGCAAACACGCATTCGTGCAAATAAAATCTGTAGCTTTGTTTAGGAAAAAAAAACAACTATACTGGTTATTCCATTTATTGGCTGGCATATTTACTATTATAAGCCAGTTCATTCTTGCTGCATTACATGGCCATGTAATTTTGCAGGACATGGAGAAGAGGAGAAGAATAGAAGCAGCATACAAAAATGATTTGACAGAACTGAGGCTTTCATTTTTTTCCTGATTCTGTCCCCCATCCCAGAGAGGGAGGGGGGAGAGTGAGCGAACAGCTCTGTGATGCTTAGCTGCCAGACATGTTAAACCACAACAATGATTTAATGATTCTATTCCCTTATCTGTCAATACTGAAGAGTTATTGATTTGATTCAATATGAAATAACCTCAATTCTGTAAAAGGTTTTCACATCTCCAGAAATGTTACTTTCATTCTTCTGCAACACCTTGGATCTGCCAGCTCTTGAGATATGTTGAGAAAGCTTTTGGCTCAGAACACCATCAGGTCACTGTATCACCTAGTTTAAACAAACTTTATTTCTGCATACCCCCACATTAATATTGCAAGACTATCACCACAATATAAAAATGTTATCTTAAACTCAGAACTTCACAGATTAAAAATAACACTTATGGGAGCACTGTCATGTTCCACAGAGAAATTACACACAATCCACGTTTCAGGATCATTTTCACTGAATGCTGTTATCTTTCTGATGGCAGACAAATATAGCACATCCCTTTGAGAAGCTGGCCACACTCTCTGCAGAGAAACACCTGATTATAAGCTTTTCCAATTTTGCAAATTAGGTACTTATTATCCTTAGATAAAGGGAAAAAAAAAAAAGAGGGCAAGGCAAACAAGGTCAGACATTATTTAAGTAAAAAAAAACACAACATCAAGCTAGTAAATTCATGCAATTTTCAAAACTGAAACAAAGAACACAGCTATAGTACAGACACTTATCAGGTTATATGGCTATGTTTCTGTGGTAGTTTTACTCGGGTGGGCAGCCAAGCTCCACTTCAGTCACTCTCTCACTCCCCCTCAACGGGAAAGGGGGAGAACATATGGTAAAAAGTGCTAAAGGGTTGATATAAGGATGGAATTATCATGACGGGCAAAACAGACTCAGAGTAGGGAGACAGTAAGATTTATTGCCTATTACTAACAAGCTAGAGAAGTGAGAGACAAAGGAAAGAAACCAAAAATGCCTTCCCCCCATCTGCTCCATAAACATGGAGGGACAGAGAAAAAGAGAAAGAAATATTTATAACAAATGTTATTTTGTTTTAAAGCTACTAGTTCAGTAAGACAGATATGGTAAACTGATATTATCTAAGAGAAAGTTTCAGAAGCAAAGTGATAAAATAAAATAAGAAACTATGCAGAAGCCATTTTCCTGACAGTCAGGGAAAAAGTCTAGTTTTTACCACAACACTATATAGTTCACATAACTGCCATATTCAAAATCAAAGTCTCTGTTATGGCTCTTTTAAGGTAACAGCATTACTGGTAAAATTAGAAATATATTTGTTTTAATACTCGAGTATACTAGTACTTAGAATCATGCAAAATCAAAGACGAATCTGTATACTTCATTCACAATTTTTATTTTTTGAACCTGTTACATTACAACTGTTGAGTTATAATTCAAATGATCAAAACTATACCAGCACTGGTTAGGGGGAAAAGAACCATAATCAAGTTAGAATCATAGAGTATCCCAAGTTGGAAGGGACCCATGAGGATCATCTTCTCCAATTCCTGACTCCACACAGGGCAACCTAACAGTTAAACCATATATCTAAAAGCATTGTCCAAACACTTCTCAAACAGTGACAGGCTTGGGGCCATGACCACTTCCCTGGGAAGCCTGCTTCAGTGCTTGACCACCCTCTCAGTGAAGAACTTTTTCCTAATATCCATTCTGAACTTCCCCAATGCAGCTTTAAGCCATTCCCTCATGTCCTATCACCCATCACCAGAGAAGAGATCAGCACTTTCCTCTCTGCTCCCCCTCATGAAGTCGTAGACAGCAATAAGGTCACCCCTCAGTTTCCTCTTTTTTCCCCCAAGCTGAACAAACCAAGTATCCTCAGTCACTCCTTATACGTCTTGCCCCCTAATACCTTCACCATCTTTGATGCCTTCCTTTGGACACATTCTAATATTTTTATATCCTCCTTATACTGAGGAGCCCCAAACCGCACACAGTACTTGAGGTGAGGCCACACCAATAATGAGTATAGTGGGACAATCACTTCTTTCAGCCAGTTAGCTATACTGTGCTTGATGTGCCCCAGGATACAGTTGGCCCTTTTGGCTGCCAGGGCACACTGTTGACTCATACTGAGCTTACAATCAACCAAAACCTCCAGCTCCCTCTCTACAGGGCTGCTTTCCAGCCACTTGTCCTCCAATCTATATGTACATCTAGGGCTACACCATCCCAGGTGCAGAATCTGGCATTTGTTGTTAAATTTCATATGGTTGGTGATTGTCCAGTGCCCTAACCTATCAAGATCTCTCTGTAGGGCCTTGTAAATTACAAGGACAAATATTGCACCATCAATTATACCACCTCTTAATGTAAATATTAACTAATTGTGGTCAACAATAACTTGCTTTATTTCAAAAAAGTATGTGATACAGTAGTATGAGTTTCCTGCTTGCAATCAGTATTGGTTTATTGCTTCAGTTAGCTTTAGATGACCGTTGCCTTGCTGGCAGTTTGAAAAATTGATAAAGTTGAAGTTTCATAGAGAACTTGTTCTGAACTGTTGTTCTGAGCAGTATTTTAAGTCGTTAAAGCCATTAAGATATTTCAGAATAGATTAGAACACATATACCCCAGACTGTCTCAGTAAGGTGTGTATACAGGTGAAATATTATTACCTTATGTGTCTGGTAAATGATGACTGAATTATCGGCTAAGTTTTCCACAATATGGAAGTTTTCAATTGTTGCTAAAAAAGGGAAAAAAATCCATCAGTAAACAAGCACAAATATTAGGTCAATGTTATAAACGATATGCTTGCTGATAAACATGTGTCCTGGTTGCAGTTAGAACAGAATTAATTTTCTTCCTAGTAGCTGGTGGAATGCTGTGTTTTGGCTTAGGATGAGAAGAGTGCTGATAACACCCCGATGTTTTAATTGTTGCAGAGCAGTGCTTATACTAAGCCAAGGACATCTCAGCTTCTTGCTCTGTCCTGCCAACGGGCAGGCTGGGGGTGCAGTAAGAGCTGGGAGGGGACAGACCCAGGACAGGTGACCCAAACTAGCCAAAGGGGTATTCCATACCATCTGACGTCATGCTAAACAATATATAGGGGTGGCTAGCCGGGGGAGGGGGCCGGACTGCTCGGGCTTAGGCTGGGCATCGGTCAGCGGGTGGTGAGCAATTGCATTGTGCATCACTTGTTTGTACATATTATTAGAAGTAGTACTATTATCATCATTGTATTATTATTATTATTGTTATTATTGTTATTATTGTTATTATTATTTTCAACAAATTATTTTAACAATAATAACAATAATAACAATAATAACAAAAATAAATAAATAAATAAATAAATAAATAAATAATATTATTATTATTTTATTATTGTTGTTATTATTATTTTCCTGTCTTATTAAACTGTCTTTATCTCAACTCACGGGCTTCACTTTCCATTTCTCTCCCCCGTCCCAGAGAGGGAGGGGGAGGGGGAGCGAACGGCTACGTGGTGTTTAGCTGCCAGCCGGGTTAAACCATGACAACATGCAAAACTTAAAAACTTACTTTCCCGGTCATTACGAACATCGACATTCCAGAAGTAGTGGCAAACTTCATGTCCTGTTACCCCTTTAACAGCATGTGTTGCTTTCAAAGGATCTAAAACTATTCCATTCTCTTCTACCTCTCTTCTGTATACCTATGGCCCAATACAAAGAAAGAAATTCAGAACAGAAAGGGTCAAAACTGTCTGTTTTAACTGTTTAAAAACTCATCAGCTTAAAAGAAAAACCTAGAAGACTAACACATGAATAATTTGCCACGGCAGTGTTCTCTAGGAACTACCAGTGCAGATGCTCTTACATGGCACTCTGCATCAAAATACTGGTATTTTGCGAATCTCTACTCCAAAAAAAGATTAAGCTACCTTATTTACCACTATGTCTAAGGATCCGCACAAGCACAGTGAAGTAGCTGACACAGTAACTGCTACCATGTCGTGGTACACGACAAACTGACTCGATTCACCTTCTCCCTCAGCAGCTTCTGCAACTCGTCGCGTAGGACTCCATACAGCAGCCTTCCATCTCCGATGCTTCCCCACAATACGACAGGACCCATCAGTGAACAGGCATATTTCTTTTCATTCTCTGGTAACTGGTTGTACAGTGGGGCTTCTTCAGCACGACCCACCTCCTCCTCTGATGATATCCCAAAGTATTTGCCTTCTGGCCAGTCCAGAATCACTTCCAATATTCCTTGGCGCATCAGTTGCATGATGCGTAGAAGAGACCCCATCTCCATTTCTGGAGATGTGAAAACCTTTTACAGAATTGAGGTTATTTCATATTGAATCAAATCAATAACTCATTCACCAATAATGAGTATAGTGGGACAATCACTTCTTTCAGCCAGTTAGCTATACTGTGCTTGATGTGGGGTTTTGGAGTCGGGGATACAGAGGATCTGAGGCCCGCTATACTCCACCTGAAAAGGAGATATTGGCAGCATATGAAGGAGTTCAATCTGCGTCGGAGGTGGTCGGTACTGAAGCGCAGCTCCTCCTGGCACCCCGATTGCCGGTACTAGGCTGGATGTTCAAGGGAAGGGTCTCTTATAAACAATAATAATAATAATACAATGATGATAATAGTACTACTTCTAATAATATGTACAAACAAGTGATGCACAATGCAATTGCTCACCACCCGCTGACCGATGCCCAGCCTAAGCCCGAGCAGTCCGGCCCCCTCCCCCGGCTAGCCACCCCTATATATTGTTTAGCATGACGTCAGATGGTATGGAATACCCCTTTGGCTAGTTTGGGTCACCTGTCCTGGGTCTGTCCCCTCCCAGCTCTTACTGCACCCCCAGCCTGCCCGTTGGCAGGACAGAGCAAGAAGCTGAGATGTCCTTGGCTTAGTATAAGCACTGCTCTGCAACAATTAAAACATCGGGGTGTTATCAGCACTCTTCTCATCCTAAGCCAAAACACAGCATTCCACCAGCTACTAGGAAGAAAATTAATTCTGTTCTAACTGCAACCAGGACACACGTTTATCAGCAAGCATATCGTTTATAACATTGACCTAATATTTGTGCTTGTTTACTGATGGATTTTTTTCCCTTTTTTAGCAACAATTGAAAACTTCCATATTGTGGAAAACTTAGCCGATAATTCAGTCATCATTTACCAGACACATAAGGTAATAATATTTCACCTGTATACACACCTTACTGAGACAGTCTGGGGTATATGTGTTCTAATCTATTCTGAAATATCTTAATGGCTTTAACGACTTAAAATACTGCTCAGAACAACAGTTCAGAACAAGTTCTCTATGAAACTTCAACTTTATCAATTTTTCAAACTGCCAGCAAGGCAACGGTCATCTAAAGCTAACTGAAGCAATAAACCAATACTGATTGCAAGCAGGAAACTCATACTACTGTATCACATACTTTTTTGAAATAAAGCAAGTTATTGTTGACCACAATTAGTTAATATTTACATTAAGAGGTGGTATAATTGATGGTGCAATATTTGTCCTTGTAATTTACAAGGCCCTACAGAGAGATCTTGATAGGTTAGGGCACTGGACAATCACCAACCATATGAAATTTAACAACAAATGCCAGATTCTGCACCTGGGATGGTGTAGCCCTAGATGTACATATAGATTGGAGGACAAGTGGCTGGAAAGCAGCCCTGTAGAGAGGGAGCTGGAGGTTTTGGTTGATTGTAAGCTCAGTATGAGTCAACAGTGTGCCCTGGCAGCCAAAAGGGCCAACTGTATCCTGGGGCACATCAAGCACAGTATAGCTAACTGGCTGAAAGAAGTGATTGTCCCACTATACTCATTATTGGTGTGGCCTCACCTCAAGTACTGTGTGCGGTTTGGGGCTCCTCAGTATAAGGAGGATATAAAAATATTAGAATGTGTCCAAAGGAAGGCATCAAAGATGGTGAAGGTATTAGGGGGCAAGACGTATAAGGAGTGACTGAGGATACTTGGTTTGTTCAGCTTGGGGGAAAAAAGAGGAAACTGAGGGGTGACCTTATTGCTGTCTACGACTTCATGAGGGGGAGCAGAGAGGAAAGTGCTGATCTCTTCTCTGGTGATGGGTGATAGGACATGAGGGAATGGCTTAAAGCTGCATTGGGGAAGTTCAGAATGGATATTAGGAAAAAGTTCTTCACTGAGAGGGTGGTCAAGCACTGAAGCAGGCTTCCCAGGGAAGTGGTCATGGCCCCAAGCCTGTCACTGTTTGAGAAGTGTTTGGACAATGCTTTTAGATATATGGTTTAACTGTTAGGTTGCCCTGTGTGGAGTCAGGAATTGGAGAAGATGATCCTCATGGGTCCCTTCCAACTTGGGATACTCTATGATTCTAACTTGATTATGGTTCTTTTCCCCCTAACCAGTGCTGGTATAGTTTTGATCATTTGAATTATAACTCAACAGTTGTAATGTAACAGGTTCAAAAAATAAAAATTGTGAATGAAGTATACAGATTCGTCTTTGATTTTGCATGATTCTAAGTACTAGTATACTCGAGTATTAAAACAAATATATTTCTAATTTTACCAGTAATGCTGTTACCTTAAAAGAGCCATAACAGAGACTTTGATTTTGAATATGGCAGTTATGTGAACTATATAGTGTTGTGGTAAAAACTAGACTTTTTCCCTGACTGTCAGGAAAATGGCTTCTGCATAGTTTCTTATTTTATTTTATCACTTTGCTTCTGAAACTTTCTCTTAGATAATATCAGTTTACCATATCTGTCTTACTGAACTAGTAGCTTTAAAACAAAATAACATTTGTTATAAATATTTCTTTCTCTTTTTCTCTGTCCCTCCATGTTTATGGAGCAGATGGGGGGAAGGCATTTTTGGTTTCTTTCCTTTGTCTCTCACTTCTCTAGCTTGTTAGTAATAGGCAATAAATCTTACTGTCTCCCTACTCTGAGTCTGTTTTGCCCGTCATGATAATTCCATCCTTATATCAACCCTTTAGCACTTTTTACCATATGTTCTCCCCCTTTCCCGTTGAGGGGGAGTGAGAGAGTGACTGAAGTGGAGCTTGGCTGCCCACCCGAGTAAAACTACCACAGAAACATAGCCATATAACCTGATAAGTGTCTGTACTATAGCTGTGTTCTTTGTTTCAGTTTTGAAAATTGCATGAATTTACTAGCTTGATGTTGTGTTTTTTTTTACTTAAATAATGTCTGACCTTGTTTGCCTTGCCCTCTTTTTTTTTTTTCCCTTTATCTAAGGATAATAAGTACCTAATTTGCAAAATTGGAAAAGCTTATAATCAGGTGTTTCTCTGCAGAGAGTGTGGCCAGCTTCTCAAAGGGATGTGCTATATTTGTCTGCCATCAGAAAGATAACAGCATTCAGTGAAAATGATCCTGAAACGTGGATTGTGTGTAATTTCTCTGTGGAACATGACAGTGCTCCCATAAGTGTTATTTTTAATCTGTGAAGTTCTGAGTTTAAGATAACATTTTTATATTGTGGTGATAGTCTTGCAATATTAATGTGGGGGTATGCAGAAATAAAGTTTGTTTAAACTAGGTGATACAGTGACCTGATGGTGTTCTGAGCCAAAAGCTTTCTCAACATATCTCAAGAGCTGGCAGATCCAAGGTGTTGCAGAAGAATGAAAGTAACATTTCTGGAGATGTGAAAACCTTTTACAGAATTGAGGTTATTTCATATTGAATCAAATCAATAACTCTTCAGTATTGACAGATAAGGGAATAGAATCATTAAATCATTGTTGTGGTTTAACATGTCTGGCAGCTAAGCATCACAGAGCTGTTCGCTCACTCTCCCCCCTCCCTCTCTGGGATGGGGGACAGAATCAGGAAAAAAATGAAAGCCTCAGTTCTGTCAAATCATTTTTGTATGCTGCTTCTATTCTTCTCCTCTTCTCCATGTCCTGCAAAATTACATGGCCATGTAATGCAGCAAGAATGAACTGGCTTATAATAGTAAATATGCCAGCCAATAAATGGAATAACCAGTATAGTTGTTTTTTTTTCCTAAACAAAGCTACAGATTTTATTTGCACGAATGCGTGTTTGCAGCCGTTTCCTCACCCTCCCCCCCCCCGCAGTGGGATGGGGGAGAGAATCAAAAAAAAGTGAAACCTTGCAGGTTGAGATAAAGACATTTTATTACGACAGAAACAAAAGGAAAATAATAATACTAATAATGATAATAGTGCTACTACTAATAATGTGTACAAAACAAGTGATGCACAATGCAGCTGCTCACCACCCACTGACCAATGTCCAGCCTATCCCCAAGCAGCCAGTCCCCCACACCCCGGCCAGCCCCCCCATATTAATAGTTTACCATATCACATGGTATGGAATACCCCTTTGGCCAGTTTGGGTCAGCTGTCCTGGGTCTGTCCCCTCCCAGCTCCTGCTGCATCCCCCAGCCTGCTCGCTGGCAGGACAGAGCAAGGAGCTGAAAAGTCCTTGGCTTAGTGTAAGCACTGCTCTGCAACAATTAAAACATCATCATGGTATCAACATTATTCTCATCCTAAATCCCAAACACAGCACCCTACCAGCTACTAGGAGGAAAATTAACTCTGTCCTAGCTGAAACCAGGACATTGACACAGATGCTTGGGCAGTGATAACAAAGGGTGAATAGTAAGACTGGTAAAAAGCTAACTTGTTGAATGTTGTTGAGATACTAATGAGCCACAGCATGAAAGCTTGTATCTATAATTAGCTGGCATAGCATCTAGATGAATCATTTCATTAACTCCAATGCAGAGGAATTAGCAACTCAACATCGAAAACAAGGCATCCTACCAGCTCCTAGGAGGAAAATTAACTCTATCCTAGCGGAAACCAGAACAATATCCTCCCCTTATTCCATACCATTTATGTCATGCTCGGGTCCCACCCTTTCCAATACATTACAAATAATCAACACTTTTCACATACATATATAAAATGTCCACTAAGTTTGTGTAGTCCATGACTGACTTTGGGCTCTATCTGTCACAGCAGTCTTTCAGGGCAGAGGAGATGGTGTGTGATGTTGGACTGTC